TCAGCCCGTCTCTCTCTAACAAGATCTCTTTTCTTCAGGAATTACCAAATAGCTGCCTTCGTGCAGCAGCAGACCCACTGGATGCCCTCCCGGCCTGTTTAACAGCTCCCCTGTGGAAGCTGTGTCTCAGTCAAACATCAGCAGACAGCTAAAGAAAAGTTGCCACAGTGGGCTCACAGAGCAAGCTCCACACCTAGGCTTCAGCTTTCCCAATTCAGCCCAGGACAGCCTGTGGGGCCAGGAGCAGGCTTGCAGCACACGCCAGGACCTGCACGTCCCACAGGGCAGCCTGCGCTCTCAGATTCTCTCTCTTTTTTTCATTGATTAAACAAACAATGCTTGTGACCGCAACAGGCTCCAAGTAGTTCTAACAAACAGTCATGAGAAGAGAGAAAGTGCATTTTAAAGATGAAGGGGTTATGCTGGCATTCCTGCAGAGGTGAACCTCCTGCCGCGTGCATGGCAGCCCTCCTGAGCCCTGTCGGCCATGCGGCCCTGCTGGGCCCACCGCGGGGCTTGTGCTGCCCCAAGCTGTTCTGAGGAGGTGTTTGTGCATAGGTCGCTTTTTCAGTTGGGTGGGATTTTCTGGCTGCCTTTTACTGCTTCTCCGATGCAGAGTAGTCATAAAGTTTAACTGCCCAATTTAGCAAGGTTTATAGTTGCTTTGCATTGCTGCAGTGCCACATAGCAGATTGAATAAACCAGAGAATCCATCCCATATGTTATATTTGTTGGGAAAACATACTTGCGGTAAAACAACCTAGAGAGAAGTGTTTATCCTGCAGTGGAAGTGGAATTGAGCATTGTGGGATGAGCTGAAAATGAAGGTCCCCAGTCCCTCCTTGCTGTGGTTGTAGCATGGCTGGGAGGGAACAATAGGTGTCAGGCACAAGGCTGTCACGACCATGGGATGGGGAGCGAGAAGCACAGAGTGGTGGTGGCTGCTGAGCCAGGAGAAACAGCCTTTTAGGAATGAGTCACGAGAAAAGATGGGAAAAAACCCACTATATAAGCAGTAAAGACAATTTTCAAATGGAGACTGAACTTTAAGGGGCAATGGAGTTCAATGTAGGCCCCAATAGATTATGGCTCAGACAACCTCAGTCCACAGCCCTGCCTGTTGCTGCCTCACTGTCCTTCACTAGGTCCCTCCTCTCACAGCTCTGCACCTACCCCTGGAGGGCATCCAGTGGGTCTGCTGCTGCACGAAATCCCTGGTGGAATTTCTTTCCAAGCCTCCTGGTTGGAGAGGTGATGTCTGATGTGTGTACACAAAGTGGGGAGTACAACCAACCCTACGATGCTAGAGGCCTACAGAGACAATTTGGCTAGAAATAAACATCACAGATATCTAAAGACACCTCAGTAAATGTGCCTTCCTGATTTCAAGAAAGATGCTTCATTACTCATTGGTTAATATTATTATTATTTGGTGATGGGAAACCTGAGGGAACATCAGTCCAATTGCAGCTGGTAGTAATGCTGATCCCACATGGCACAAAGGCACTCACAGCTACACACAGCTACACACCTTCCCAGTTTCTCCTTCCTCATCCCCTCCCACCCACACATATTTAGATCAGTGCTGAGGCTTCTCCAGATTTCTCACAACGCTCTGGCAAAGAGACAAAGGTAAAAAGAATGAGAAGAAAACTAGCAGAAGGAATTGCAGGAAGAGGAGAGATGGAAGACATCCATATGTGGTGTGGGAGAGGTGAGTAGATCATAGGATGAAAAAGACATCCTGCTGTGCTTTTCAGTTATGTTATGTTAGGTAAGCACTTCAGTAATAAGCACTTCCATAGGAGCTCAAGAAGATGACAGGAGTTGCAAAGGTGAGACTTGGAATATAATTTCCCCAGTCTTCAGGATATCTGCAGCTTCACTTCAATCTGTTAGACTGTACTTTCCACAGACATGGCATAATAACTAGCTGGAAGCTATCTCTAGTTCTATTAGAATTTAAAATGAGCTTAAAGGGAATCCAAAATAGTTCATTTTAAAGCTTGAGAGTGGGAAGTGCTGAATAGGTCTGCTAAAGAATATGGAGACATCTACTTCAAGTGAGCTGATTTCAAATCTAGCATAAATCAGAAAGGTCTGGAGGGATGATCACTTCAAAGTTATGCAACAGTCACATGTGCAACCGTCAGCTGGTCTTTGTCATCTAGTTTGAGTGATACAAGCCAGCACTGCAAAAGATCTGAGCTGTCTGTCTGAACCAAATCCTCCATCCAGTCTTTTCTCTGGAGAGTTAATGCAGGAGTAACAGAAAGAAAGTGCCTTTTGTCCTCTCTTCTTTTCAGAACAGAGTGCTAAGCAGTTGCTTCTTTTTGATGTTTGGGAAAGAAGAACTAAATATATTCTTTGGAGAGTTATAATGTTTAGAGCAGAGCTACACTGTTTAGATCAGAGCTACCTATTGAACAGCTGTCACTTCACTACTTACTAAACACTTACTTTGGAATCCAAAGAAGCAGAGGTTAGCAACTTAAACTAGGAAAGCAGAGTCTTCATATACAGTGTACATCACAAACACTTAACATTGCTTTATAGAAAGTAAGACTTCAGTTGCTAGGGTTTCCAAATGGCCACATTTCGCAAGGAATCAGTAAAGGCACTGAATTAAATCAGGAAGACTGACAGGGACTGAGCAGCTTCTGACGGTGAAGGCAAGGGTTGCATGCATGGTCAGTGAGAACTGTTGGTTAGTTTAAATCTTTGAATTCACTGGACTGAATTCATAACAGCCTTAAGGAAACTCACACATGTACACAAGCAGAGAATATGGCCATTTTTTCCCCCCCTTTTCACAAACGGTAGTTCAAAATTTTTTTTTCTGTTCAAAGGCAAGCATCCTGTCCAGCTCACTTGAGATACAACTAACTGCAAAACTCTCCTTAGAAGATTAACCAATACACCACATTTTAATATTATTAAGCATGCTTAAATTCATTAAATGTGAACTCTAAGAATTATGTTTTATTTAATATGAAAAATCTCAAGCATTCTACTATTCTTAATTAAAAAGATTTGAACAAAAAAATACATTAAAATAAATCTCCAACAGATTTGAAAGTTGTTGTCTTTGGATAAAAAATACTGATATCAGTTCCATACGATGTGCAAAAAAAAAAACTCACATAATTTTTACTGAGCTGATCTTGGGATCATGGAAGATTGTGAAAAATTATGTTGATGGCTTATCTATCTGCCTGCTTCAACAGGATTTTGAAACAAGCCTGGAAGTTAAAATGTCACTGATCATGGAATGGAATGACATGGTAGAGATTATATGGGAATTATTTGTCAAAATAAACTCTTAAAATAAACAACTAGCAACTGAACCCAGAATGTACAATAAGCAGACTTGAAGAGCTTTTAATCCATTCTTAAAAACAAAACAAAACAAAAACACCACACACACACACAAAGCATTTATATTAGAGTAATAGTTCAGAATTTCTTTAAGTCCAGTGGAATATATTCTTTCACTCCATAAGATTCTACAGCATTTGTCCCAAGGCCCAATCCTAGTCTGCCTGTGAGATATTTGTTCTATTTGCTTTCAGCTCCTATCAAGTAATGGCTTTGGTAGATGTGAGAGGGCTACTCTATTTGATACAGAGAGTACACTGGATATAAAATAAACAAGTTTCCAGTGATCATGAACAGAAGTTCTATTTTCAAAAGATACAGATACCTTAAAAAGTCTAAACTAATTAACTTTCAATTAGATGTAGACTACAAATCTATGTAATGCTGCAGATGGTTCTCAGCCTCCTAATTTACATAGGTTGCTCCAAAAGCAATGCCTCCTATTTATTTCCATGCAAACTGCAACAGATACAAAGAGCACAAAAACACCAGTTGACAGTGCACCTTCTCAGCTACAAAACTCTATTTTTTAACATAGTTACCATTAGCTATATATTTTTGTCAGCAGTGAATAAAAGCAGCAATGAATATGCTGTGCTTATAAAAATCTGCATGGCCATCCGGAACATGGCTTGTCCATCATGTTGCTGTCACCCTGTTGAAACACGCCACCTACTGTGCTCTCATCCACTGTTTGGTCTCCAAAAACATTCAGCAAGAGTAGATGAATGTCAATGGGTGACATTTTTTTTTTCCATGCAGAGGAATTCAATGCCACAACTTTGCTTCCCATGACTTTCCATGTCAGATGTCATTTTGTCGGACTGCCCCTCTGCTGCCATCTCTCACACAGCAAAAAATTGGAATGGAATATTGGAGGGAAAGTTCAACTTCTACTGCTGTACCACCAACATCTGCCTCTGTTGTTGTGGGCTAACATAATCCAACAGAAGGCATTATTTTTCGACCAGCCCGTGGACTTACAGGCAGGACTATTGCTCTAATTAAGAGGCATCTAAATGCCATAAACGTTATAAACATTTTTGACACCTGAGGTTTATTTTGCAACTATTGATTTATATCCTACATGAAATCAGCACAGTTTTATTTTAATACTTAAAATATTCTCCAAACTGTATTTGACAAGACTTCACAAAATTGCATCAGCAGCACCTTATACTGTGTAAGACCACGTGCAGTGACGATTAGGATGCGAGAGAATTATTGCTAGTTGCTCTGTATCGTTGTTGCTAAGTGCTTCATACACCTGCTGATGGATCTTGGTCCACTTTCACAGTCTATTTTTTTTTTCAGAGACTCAACAGCACCTCCCAGCTTGGTATCATCAAAATAAATTTTCTTTCTGCTGTGACTTACAAACACAATGCTGATGCTATCATTCCTATGATATGTATTTTGGAAAGATAATGCATTCCAATAAAAATATGAGGTAGTCTTTGTAATGTTTATATGAGCTTGATGCTTTTGCTACTAGTAATAAAGAAACCTGCTCTTATTTTCTGAATCTCCACAACACTACTGAGAAGTTATAACCCTTAAAGAACACTTTTATAATGTCAATAGTTGAACAAGAATATGGATAAAATGAAATTTCAGCAAAATTAAAATTGGACAGAATATGTTTAATAGGAAAAGAGAGCACATCTCTGTTGAAGAGCTATAAAGACAATTTAGGTCATATGGAATGGATAACAAAAGCTCTGGCATCTGTTATTTTTTCAACTACGTTAAGGAAATCACCAAAGCAATTTCTTGCTTCTTAATCTGCTGATCACAATACATGTCACCGCATGCCTCACCAACATGTGACTGTGGAAATACGCCTCCCAGAAATGCTTTTTCCAAACATCAGTAAGAAGCAACAGGTAACATAAGCAGACAGAAAAAGAAGAAAAAAGTGGTCCAAAAACTCCAGTGAAATTAGATATAATAGATAGACTGGACATTCAAAAAAGAGTTTGGTAAGATATTACGGATCACCAGATTTCTGTGTTATGGGAGGCTACTGCCTGAGAAGTAGAGCTAACACCATATTTTTAAGCCAATTTCTTCACTTTGTGTTGAAATAATCTGGAAGCTAACTATTGTTTGCCATTTCATCAGAGAATGGCACGTGCTGTATAAAGTCACCGTTTTATGCGCATAGAAGAGAATGAAAAGTAGGTATGCACAGACTTTATGGTTAAGATAAATGTACTGTCGGGGCTTAAAGCTAAAGGATTAGAAGGTCACTTTGGTAAAAGTGGCAAGGCTGTTTTTCTATCTCTTTCTCTGATACCAAAAAGGAGAGAGATTTCCTAGCTGATACTCATCAGATTCTTTCAGTGATATCCACTTAATTCCCTTCTACTTTCCTCAACTGCTGTGTTTTCATTGTCCTTAGATTCTCAACTCTTCTAAACAAGGACTGTATCTTCGAAAACAACTTTATAACACATAACAAATAAACTGCTCATAATCCTCACTAAAACCCTTGGATACTAATGCAGGAAAAAGAAGCAACATCATGTACAAGAGCAGCCAACGAGCACACCAGCTATGTAATTATGATGATATCTGTATTGAAAGGACAACAGACTACTCATTGAGACTTAAATTTTTATGAATGTTCCAGTCTATTACCATACACCATATATATAATTCTACTTTGTGTGTGAAACCTTCTCCAGAGGAACAAAGCCCCTCCCTAAATGTGAACTTTGTCTGCATAAATAAAACCATCTGGATTGCTGTCTAACCATCTGGTTTGTCTAAAGTTTATAGTCTCCTGAGTGTTATTCACAGACCCACATGCAATCAGGCCTCCAAAGACATTTTTATTTGGTAAATGCTTTCCCACAGCACTTTTATTTTTTCTATTTGTTTTTGATCTTGTAAAAAAAATGTCATTTTAATACGTGTGTTGTAATACTGCATGTGTTTGTGTTTCTGTGAATTGCCTGTAGTTCTACAAGTGGGTAGATATTACAGGCTGGATTCCCTTGGGAGCAGGAAAGAAATAGAAAAGAGACACTTGGAGATACCAGATCCTGAGACTCCTTTACTGCCTTCCCTGAACAAGACATTAACATTGGTTGGAGAGATGACTTAAAATGCATTAGGTATTAACACGTGATAAGACATCAAGAACTGAACTGTCTCGGCTCAATAGCTACAGCTGATAGCAGGTAACCATCACTCTGTCAGTTGTCCACCAGGCTGGGACTCTGCTGGTTTTGAAATCATTCAAAACTCCTGGCAGCATGCAGTGTCCAGACAACACACCAGTGTGCTCTATGTGAATAAAATGCGTAATTATTTTCCCCTAATGCGACAAGCTGAACAGTCACTACACTTCTGCTTGCTCCGGCCTCATAAAAGAGGATTTTCCACCCAGAGCCCTCACAAATCCTTGCCAAAAGGGTTCACTCTCCTTCAGAGTTCAACTGCTCCCGTTTCTGGAGAAAATATCTATTCTCCATAGATCAGTAAGTATAAAACAGTTCACGAGCTGTGACGCTTCTGTCTTATCTGCTCCCCTACCACAAGCAATGGAAAATGTTTCAGTTGAAACAACAAACAGATTTGAAATCAGAAATAGAAATGACCTAAGTAGAGATTAATATAACTTCACAGAAACTACCTCGTTCTGTTCTAAACCATCCCTGATGTGTCAGCAGATCAAGTGTATAATTGTCTATGCAATCACTAACAATAATCACACCACTTTATATACCCAGAAGACATATTCTCTATGAGATTTAAACTTAAATGTAGATCCACAGGTCATGGAGTGTTATCTTTGTAATCTGAACATAAGTAAAGCATCTGGGGCAAGAAGCCTATATTTTAAAGATGTGCAAAACAGATGTCTTTTTCTGTAGTCACTCTTCCTCAAATTTCTTCAGCATAGAAAGATAGAAAAGATGCCAACAATCCTGCGGAAGCTAAGACCCAGGACAATTCATCTCTCTGCTGAAAAGTTGAGAGAGGGCAGCTGGATCCCACTGGACCCTGCTGTGTTTAGTTTCTATAAAAGGGAACTAAAACGAGGAGCAGCCTCCAGAGGCAGCAAAATACAGCAGGAAGCCTGGAGATGCATCTCTGTTCTAAAAAAAAAATAAATTGTTTCATGTATGTGATTCTATTCACTTGTTAGCTTATTTGTGTAGCTTGGGGGTCCTGCGTTGTTTCCCAGTCAGCTTCTTATAACTCTAATTCCTGTTGACATATGAAAATGTGAGTGTACAAGCTCACGCACACATGCTTGGGAGCAGTTTCCGTGGATGTACAAAAAAATTTCAAATAATTCTAATTTACTGTCAATAAATTCCACTAAAATCTTGGATACTGTAAGAGAGTTTGAAAATGGATAATGTCTTATTCCAACTGTAAGGCCTTGATTTTTAGATTTTAGCCTTTCATGGACATAGTCTAAAATAAGCAGGGAACACACAGTCACTTTTCAGCTAAACTCTGTTCATTGATTGTATGCATTCCCAGCCCATTGTAAATAGGATGAGCGTTGTAAATTTAAGCCACAGTATTTTATCAGATTCTAGCAACAAGCTGAGCACCACAGCTAAAACAAAGAGCCTTAATGACTGTCTATATGTTTAGATCCAAGAAAGGCTTTGTTTGGAGATTTCTTTTGTTAATTGTACCAAAAAATGCAATCTTATTCATTCAAAACTAAAGTCAAGACAATCATTAATTGTGATTTTTTCCAAGTAGCAGTGCTGATGAGTAATCTATTGTACTGCTAACTATTTAAATGCAGTAAGTTTCAGTGTGAATATGTTTGCAACTTTATCAATTTCTACATTAAAAATAGGCTTGTGTTTTCAATCTTAATGTGCCAGAGATGTTTATAATCTTTGAGTGGGAGTCAGTATTCACATCATACAGGATAATGCTTACCCTTACGGTTCCAGAGCTTGTGTTATAGTTTCCTTTGAGAAGTACAATTAAACCAAAAGCAAAATTTGCTTTAGAATTCAAATATTTTTTAAGAAAAAAATATTGATTAATATGAAAATCTTGTGTGATGCTTACTTGTTTTCAGAACGTTCCTTTCAAGAGCTGGGGAGGTTTGCTTTCTGGCAAGCATCAAACATTTTTCCATTGGTCACAGCATTCTTGCACTAATTGAGTTTAGAAGACTCTTCAGCTGCTGAACACGATGAACATGATCTGTGAAAAGCAAGCACATGAGAAATAATGGGATCCATTAGCTAGTCAAACATGCATTAGTTGCAAAATATAATATGAGAACTGTATTCTGCTACTCCAGACCTTTTAGTTACCTTCTTTCCTGATATATTTCATACTTGTCAGTGAAGGATCCCACTGATCTTCACAATGCATAAAACTGCACAAGACAAAAGCCTTCTGAAGCTTACAGTAATGATTTTGCTGTCTGAACTAAAAACTGCAGGGAATATGCTTTGTTTATTTCAGTACTTATCAAGCATGACCAAATCTTTCCCCTAGTTAAAATTACCCATTCTGCTAAAAATAATTCTACAATATACAATTCAACTGCAAAATGGGACATTTGCATAGAAGTCATGGATTTTTAATATGATTATGGGCTATGTAGAAGAATTTTTTTTGTATTTCCCTTAAACCCTTATTTTTACAATTCTATTATACATGGTAGCATACATTAGATAAAACTGATCTTATTGTGTTATAGCTCTCACCTTTCTATTAACATTTCAGATACTACACAGGAAGATAATCATACTAATTCCCACATCATTTTTCAGGAACGTTGTCTTTTCTTTAGATAGGAGAAAACTTAGAGTCACAGCACAGCTGGACTTGTTAGCATCTTGACCTTAACTCTTTGCTGACTTACATTCTTGGTAGCTACAGACTTCTGTGTTAACTAGAAGCTAAAATAATGCTCTCCTGGAACGTTTACCTTTTGAACTTACATGTGAATTTGACTTAGAAGATGACAAGGTCCAAGTGGAGAAAGAATATCATGATTTCACGTTGAAGTCCAGTTCACTTGATACTTGAAACTACATAAAATGTCATTAAAAATGCAAAATGCTAAAATTTTCAGTGGATTTGATTCCTGCACAAGGAAAACAAACAAAATCTCCATTGACATGCAAGTAACTAATCTGTGTGAATTTGAAGTCTTTGAGCTGCACTACTCATCCTCATGGCATCAGTAGATTGGTCAGTGGATTGACACCCAGAATGCACACTGCAGTTTTCTACAAGCCCTGCTAACAAACAGATGTGATGCTGCTCTCTGGTCAGGCCAGCTCACTGGCTCTGCTGGCTCCACCTTTTCCCACTTCTTGCCAGTCTTCCTTTTCTCTTCCCAATGGAGCCACATTAATCAACCTGTGTGAAGGAAACAGGCAAGGAAACAAACTGGAGACAAGATGTATTCCCCTACCGTGCTGTATCCTGCAGGTACTGAAGAAGAGCGTGAGGGCCGTGGGACAACAGCAGGTCTCAAGAACATCTTATGCTACAGCCTACAGTGAGACAAAGGCAGCAGTAGTAGAGGTCAGCCATCAAGGGATTTTCAGTTCCTTAAAGCCTCACTAAACTTCCATGTAAGAGATTTAATAGCAGAAGGATACTGGTTGGTATAAAAATACACAAGATATCATCTGTTAGTATAACACAGAATCACTGTGAAATCAAGGACTTAGACTGTAGCCAAATTGAAATATTTTTCTCCCATTAGGAAACAATAAAAATGCCTTGGCAAGATGAGTTCAGGCCTTCTGACTGTCTCTTGAAATGCACTTTCTGGTAAAAGTAGCTTATCAGCAAATACACTTTAATTTCTGTGGTTCTGATTATTAACTTTTGCATGCTGTGTACCTTTTCACACCTGTGCAAAGTCAGGTAAAAGAGGCTGCCAAACAAGTGCCTTACATTCCAAAGGTGCAGTTATTTCAGAAGTGTAAAGGAACAGAAAATGAGTCAGTAGATGGTACTTGAAGGTTCTTACTATATTATTGTTTTTTTGAAGTTAGATACATTACTAGTTTGAATTGTTCTGTGCTTAGTAGGGATATTGTAGCATTTGGATTTTCCTCACAAGTATAGTATCTTGCCTGATTTCTTTTCCCCACTCTACTCTTTTCTTCTCGCTACTTTTGTGTAGTGATGTTTATTATCTAATTCTCACTTCCCACAGTACAATCTAATTTCTACAGTAACTACTTGCTAAATGCCTTGTGGTTCTATTATTATGCCAGAAAGCAAAGGAAACAAGCAGCACAGAGTATTTAACTTTTTTTTTTTTCTTTTTTTTTCCTCCTCCCTAGGCTATGCTATCAATATATGCTGGTTAACTCATTATTTTTCTAACAGAAAGTTATATATCTGTATCTATATTACAAGGTTTACAAATATCTTCCAGTGTTTTTTTTTTTAGTTCTGAGTAGAATGTACAGCAGACTAATATCCAAACGATGATAAATTATTCAAGACCTAAGAAAGAATGCTTACAAAAAGTAAGCATTATATAAGCAGCCATTTGACTAACAGTGCATTTGGTATTAATACATGGTTCTTCATTAGCAGTCCTGAGATAACACCAACAAAAGGAACTGATTTAGATTTGTTCTCTCTTCCTTTCAAAGCATTCCGAACACCAAACAAAGCTCATTTGCTAGTGGCTCACCTTTGGGTCAGTCGTAAGTGTTGGCTGAACTCTTGATGGGTTAAGTAGGAACTATGTTTTATTTTTCATCTGAATGTAGGTTTTGTGATTCCTAATACCTCAGCCCCTGCATCTGCTTTCATTATGCAAGCAAAATATTTCTAACCCAGAGTCACCTATTTTCACCAAATATGTGCAAATGGAATTGTTTTTCAAATTTCCATTCTCCTGTGATAACTACCAGAAATTAGCCAATACTCTGGCTACCATTACCCTCCCCCTGATAATGGGGAAAGAGTGGATGATAGCCATGTGTGACTGCACAAACACCATCTCTTAGAAAACAGCTTTGAAAAAAAAAAAAAAAGCAAACACTTCTCGGGTCATGTGTTGAGGTTTTGCACAATCAGGGGTTTGAGATGTGCTAAATCTTACATGCTCTGCACAGTACTTCTCACTTGCATAGAACTAATCACTCAAATTGCACAAAGCTAAGTGCTTGTTTAAATCCTCACATGACTGATGACTAATGTTCAGTATTTAAAATTCTGTCCAAAGACAGAAGAACTGATTGTTTCACTTGAGCAGTCAACTTTCACATTAATCATAGTAATCTAAATCTCTATTGTTTAAAATCTCCAAGAATCATGACCTTGCCTAATTGATGGCCTCTACTTTTGTACTTCTGGAGAATTTTGCATAGTGAATACCAAGCCCTAAAAGTAAAATATTACAGCCTGAAAATGACATAAAATCCATCTTTGATGACACGCTGAATATGGAACACAAAGATAAAATGTCAAGCTAGCAGTGTTCTGGGCACCTGGATCCCGGAATTTAACCACATCTCCTTAATCTTAAGTACAATGGTTGTTGGCTATTTACACGGGTATACAGAATTGCCTGAATATTACTGTCAGAACAGAATACAAACGTTAACGTTTCCTTCTCTCGGAGTGTTACCAGGCATGTGAAAGAAAGCTGACGTCGTACTGCTGAACACGAAGGAGGCTCCTTCAGTGTCTGCAAACCCCACCAACAGCCCTTAAGGAAAGGCATGATTTTGTTTGCTGTGCAAACCGGTTGGGTTCTGCTTGTGAATGAGCTACATAACAAAGAGCTCATCCAACACTACGGCGCCAATCACGACTCCGGAAGAAACGCACGCGAGAGAAAAGAAGACTCAAAAAAGAATAACAGAGCAAAACGAAAAGATACGAGAGGACTGATGCCGCAACCCCAAGCCGAGGTCCGGCGCTCGGCCGGAAAGGGCGAGTAAGCCCGCCCATGGATGGCTACCGCAAAGCGCTGTCGTAAAGCACGGCCGGATGAGGTGCCGCGCTCCCGGAAGACGAGGTGCGCTTTACGGCTGGCCCGCCCCTGAACACAGGCTGGGAAACCCCGTTCGGTCTTTTCGTGGTGCCGCCGCCGGAATAGGGTGAGTGCCGGCGGGCTGCGCGGCCCGTATGCGGCCCCGCTCCTGGCTGCGCTAACCTCTGTCTTCCTCTCTCTTGCAGGAGCAGTCATGCCGGCCAAGGGTCCCCTGCAAAGCGTCCAGGTCTTCGGGCGGAAGGTGAGAGCACGGGTGGCGGCTGCTCGCACCCTCCTCGCTCTCTGGCCGAGGCCGCGGCACATTGCGATGGCGGCTCTCTGCTTCCGCTTGGCTGCGGCGGTGCCTGCCGCTTCCCATAGCGCTGCGGGGAGCGGCCGTGCGAGGCGAGTCGGACCGCGCTGGCTGGGCCTGCTGGACCGCCCACGTGTCGCGCTGTGTGGCGGGAGTTGGGCCTGATGGAGTGGGGCCGTCCGGAGAGACGAGCTGTAAAGGAGGGATACATTGCATCGAAGCTTTTTCGGGAGCCTGGTTACCTCCAGCATGGCCTGGATCGCTATCGGTGGTGTCCGATGGCCATATTAAACAGGGGAACGAACTATTGCACTGCTGGGTTTGGAGGGCTGAATTGAATGGATGGGATAGCTTTCCCAACTTCAGTGTTAATACAGTCTTGTTAAGATAGTTTTGTAGGCTTCCAAGCGGATGCCTGGAAATGTCAGAAGCGGTGCTGCTTCATTTACTGAGAAGTGTTAACATGCAATATGAGAATAATATCTGTGGGTTGTTTATGAAAATTACACTTTATGCTGCTGGTCTGAGAAATGAAGTTCGGTACTAACACACGTTTGCGTTTTTAGAAAACAGCAACTGCTGTCGCCCATTGCAAAAGAGGGAATGGCCTCATCAAAGTGAACGGAAGACCTCTGGAAATGATTGAGCCTAGGACTTTGCAGTATAAAGTAAGCATCTGCTCAGCCTACTTCACCCTTGGACGTTAAAATATCTTTATATATTTAATCAGTTGAGCATGGTGAAGAGTTGCTTGCCTTACTGATACTGCTAAATCTTTTGCTGTGTGTAGAATTACTTTTGAAAACTGAGTAGAGTGTCCTTCCATAATGGTATTGTTGGCAGAGGGGTACTTTTCATGCTTAACTGAGAGTGTTAAAATTTAATAATCTTCATCTGTTTTTCTGATTTTTGCCTAAACTACTTGGTTTCTGTTAATTTCCATGTTCATAAATTGTGCTGTTCAGTGTTTTGAAACCTAAAAAAAACAGTAGTACGTTTGTTTTACAGTATTACTAGTAGGTGTCAGAGAACCCTTTAAGAGATAAAGTTGATCTGTATATGTGCTTGCAAAATCCAGTCTTGTGTTTTTCAAAAAGTTTAGCAACTTCATGTGTGTAAATCTACAGATTTGTGCTGGCTCTGATAGCAAATGAAATTTGGTAATCTGGTTTGTTTCCTAGCTGCTTGAACCTGTCCTGCTGCTGGGGAAGGAGAGATTTGCTGGTGTTGACATCAGAGTCCGTGTGAAAGGTGGTGGCCATGTAGCACAAATCTACGGTAGGATTTGGAGTTGAGCCTTCACTGTGGGCTAGAACAGGTGAAACTGTGCGTGTGAGAGGCTTGAGTTTAGAATAGCAGCTTGTACATTTCAATGTTCGGCTTCTTCTTCACTACTCAAACACTGTTTTCTTCAATATATTTTACCTACATAATTGCAGCATCTGGAGCAAGTTGAATAAAATTCATTTGTGAAATTCAAAGGAACTGATCTTTACACCTTATGGTGTGACAGTTGAAGTGTGTCTCAATACGAAGATTTTTGGGAGAGAGAAAAGAGAACTTTGCATTAGAAATTAAGAATTTAATTGTAAATTTCCAGGTTGTCTAGAAGTGTCTGTCTTTCATTTGACCTGCAGACATGCTCTGGATGAGAGCACCTGTAAGCATCTGCAAGAGCCTCTCTTGCAGAGCGTATTGATAATGTCTGAAGTTGATTGCACTCATTTTTCAGAAAATTCATTTTCTAATAAAAAACGTAGTTCCAAACCAAATGTTTACAGCTGCTCCCATAACACTTGTTTCAGTTCTGATTATTATTATGGGATTGTTTTATGGAGGTGTGCTAAAACAAGTCATGCCATCCTATTGCGCATTCTGTTGCCTTAGTCTTTGAACTCTGTGAGCATTTTTATTTGTGTTGAAAATTAGAGACATTTTAGGGAACTATTCCTAAGGATTTTGAAAATTAACTACTTGGTAGAAGATAAACAAGATTCATATTCTAAGGAAGGTGATGAAGATAGCACTTGTACCATGTTTTGTCTAGCTGGCAGTTGTCAAGTCAGAAGATGAATCGTGGGTGGCCTCTTGGCACAGAGTTCTTCAGATTTGCCAAAATAAAGGTCATGTGTATTTAGATGGGAGGGGACTTAAGGGGGGAAAGGATGCTTTGGCACAGAACAAGACAGCAAGTTTCTGAGAGAATTGGCACTTTGTGTTTAAGTTTTGAATACATTTGCGATCCTTAGTAATCCATTTTTTTTTTTAACAGCTATCCGTCAAGCTATTTCCAAAGCATTGGTGGCTTATTATCAAAAATGTAAGTTCATTGTTCAGATCGTTATGTTAGCATTAAGTGAAAATGTTTGCCTTCTGACAAGTGTGAAAATGCTAGCATAAATGAGTTCCTTCGAGAAACGTTCAAAACTTTTTTTTTTCCTACACAGATGTTGATGAAGCTTCCAAAAAAGAGATCAAGGATATTCTAATCCAGTACGACAGGACTCTGCTGGTTGCAGATCCTCGCCGTTGTGAATCCAAGAAATTTGGAGGACCTGGTGCTCGTGCACGTTACCAGAAGTCTTACCGTTAAAATTGTTCACCAGTCATGTGACAGTCAATAAACATAAAGAGAATTTGATAAATCCCATGTTTTCAAACTGCTTTTTGTGTGTGTTTGTGTGTGTGTGTGTGTGTGTGTGTGTGTGTGTGTAAATACATTCTCACTTCAGATTGATTTACAAATACATCAATACTGAAGTAAAACCTGATGACTCTTCCTCTTTTATCCATTTTGAAGCAAGTCTTGTGGGGCCTTGGTAATGAAGGAAAACCTTGTACTACGGATGTGTGTGTGGTTACTGAAACATTAAAAGCTTACATCCTCTTTTATTTGGGAGGGGTGGGATGTTTGGTGAGGGACGTGCAACAGTTTGTTGAAGCAGATAGAAATATGTCCAAGCAAATGGACCTTTACAGGGAGCTGAGTGATTCTGGTGTTACTGACGGAGATGATCCATGTTCTCTGCATGAAAATGTCAAAGCCTTGATGCTGACTTGGTCTGTGATGTAGGAGTGGATCTAACTCTAGTATATGCCTTCTCTTAGTACTCTGTCCTAGGGTAATTCTGCATTAAGTACCTTTTATGCTTCTGTGTTGGCAACTAGAGTCCTTTCAAATGAATTCCGTTCTGATTTTAGATTCATTTGAATTACTGCTTCACAAGTGAAGTTCCAAACATGACCACAAGAGTATTGAAAGTAAGTACTTCCTATTTGCATGAACTGCTTATGTTGATGCACTGTTAATGGCAAGTGGCAAAATGATTTATTCCACTGAGAATAACTCCCTTAATGTGGTGTTAAAGTATACATTCAGGAAGGTATTGTGAAGTTTGGAGTTTACATCATTAAAAACAAAGTAATTATATATGCACGTGCAGAGGAAGTCAGCCCAGTTATTACTGGAAAATGAGCATGGTTTCTGGATTGATAGGTCTAAATGGAGGAAGCTTTTTTTTCTGAAATGAACTCAGTATATTCTATTTTGTAACTGTAAAACATAAAAAGGACTGTTTTACAAATTGCACTGGATCTAGTTTATTCATCCTACAATTACAGGCAGACATAGAGAACAGCATCAAGTGCTTTAATAAGAAAATAAATTTGATTTTCTTATGATTTGCTGTCATGAGCTAGGTGAGGCAATGGAAAGCCTTAGGAAAGCATGTGTGAAAAATTTGGGGTTGAAAATGTGACTAATTTTGAGAGATACATTTAGGGTATGCATTTATCAAACATGAAATGTTGGAGAAGTTCCAGTTTCTCATCCATTGAAGCTTTGAAGACCTTCAGAAATAATCTGATTAGGAGGGAAGAGTTTAGTTCTGAGTAAGATGTGTGATGTGCCAAGGAAAGGCTGTTGGAAAGGCTAATTCTGTCCCTTGGAAGAGTTGCAAATGATTGAATGAGAACTTGGATATGAGTTGACCCAACTGGCATGGAAACAGCTCTACATTGTTGTTTCTTGTGTTTGGAAAGCAATTGGAGAGGAAATAGAAGAAACATAGAAGTCTAATCAAGCTACAGCACCCTACCTTCTGCTGCATTGCTTTTGAAATCAGATATTTTTCCTGTCTTCTGTATGCTTGCATGACACTACTGAAATTCTGATTTGAGCATCTCAATATACAAAATTCTGGGGGGGGGATTTCTATCAAAAGTGTTATTTCTATTCTCACTTATTCAGTGATAGGTCATCTCAGTGTACTAAGTACACAAAAATAAACTGATTGTGAGTTGAGTTAGGAAATGCAGATCACAGCACAATGTTGCCCTTTTGCTCTAGTTTAGAGAAATGATTATCATAGGCTTTTTATAAACATTGACGCTTGTTGCATCTTTCTGCTTTTTTTCTGCTGAAAGCTTTTGTTCAAAACGCTTTCCCTGAAATGTAGTTACTCAGGAGTTAAAAGAATAACTTCAACAAATTCCTTCTGGAAAGGAATTCTCCATCCATCTCCCATTTTAGCTGTTAGAGTCTGCCACAAAATACTGCAATACATGACCTGAATTGAAGTAAAAAACTTATTCAAGCTTCTCACACTTTCATTGGAGATGACTGTTGTATATTCTATTGCCAATTTACGTAGCATAAAACAAAAAATCCTGGTAAGTGAATGATATAT